CGCCCATGGACACCTGGAACACCGAGGCGTTACCAGTGCGTTACCGGTCTTTTGTGAATTGGAAATTTGAGGATGGTGGAGAATTCGGGGATTCGGGAGACTGGAGGAGGGTGCGTAATTGAACCTCCGGTTACCTCACTCATAAGACGAAACATAACGCAAGCGTGGTATCACGTCTATTTTCTGTAAGGCCGTGGAATCACTCCGGTTGAGCCGGCCCATACGTGGCATGGCATCTTCCACACTTAAATTCCCCATTACTCCTGTTACGCATTTTTAGACCCTATACGGGCGGTTGCTCTAATATTTTTATGATAGCCGATTGATGCACCTTAATAATCTAAAAACAATGGTTAAAAATAATAAGTAAATAAAACAAAACTTTGTTGGGTAACAATACTAAGGTATAAAAAAAATTGTGTGTACCTAATTACCAAAAAGTTGTTAATACCGATTGTGCTGATGAGATCACTGTTAATGTAGGTTGCCACTAGCCAGTTAACCAGTTGAACTGTGGCGTGACCTTGTGAATCAGACGCTCCGATATGGCCATGCCATACCGTCGGCCGCCGAATATGTTACTCAACTACGTGACTACTAACTGCGAGTAACACCGTATAATATAATATGCAAAGGTAGACCTTTACCTTAACGCTAAACGTAAGCGTTAAAATACTTCAAACTCTTAACAATACAGCTGAGAATGAAACGTTAAAAGAATGCTTTGATTGCCGTTGCTAAGAATTCCGAGCACACGATAACCTCAAATGACATCATCTACAAAGTTATACATAATTTACGAGAGTCCTGTTTATTTCAATCAAATGTTTATAAATAAACTAATGATGTATTAACATATTTTAGATCTTCAGAAGAGATAGGTAATAAAATTAAGCAATGTACAAAATGGCTAGAAATTCGATTACTAGTTCATAATAAAGTAGGTATTTTTTTTTATTTACGTAAGTTGATAAAACGTGAAGAGATTGTGTAGCGGAAACGTTTTTAGCTAAACCTCATACACATAACAATAAAATGAAACTTCTTATAAAATTAGCCAAATTGGTACAAATTGGCTATAACCAACCAAACCAAACCATAACATTAGGTATGATACAGAATTTCCTTGTGCACTTGAACATAAATTACTAAATATACATTCCTAGGTATTGAAAAGCATAGTACCTACCTGGGCAGTTACATTACACCTGCAATTTAGAGTTTATTTATACAGAACAATATGTCAGTGTTCAGTGAGTATATTTAATTTTATGCCTTCCTGATTGTTGTACATGAATTATTCAGTGCTGAACCCAATTCTTCCTTATAGGATTGTTTTGTGCTATAAGTACTAGCTACAACAAGTGACCTGACTCTAGCACGATGTATCATACAGAAACACTTATTAATAAATTGACATCTACAAGTACTGGTCAGAGCTTAGTTCAATGGGTCGACTCGACATTAAATCACTGCACCAATTTAGCGTTCATAATTAAAAAGTGTTGTGACAGATTTATAAAGTTGATTATTATTATTGTTTCAGTTAATTAAAAGGAGCCACCGCCCTATTTAATAATGCTGCGAATGTTAGGTTTTGTTGTTTCATGGAATTAGATTTTGTTTTTAATATATTTAAGTGCTATGCGAGGTGAGCTTGTATCATGTGTAATTATAAGACCAGTAGATATGACAGGGCGGACGACCAATGCGTGTGCTGTAACGCGATTGTTCATCAGGGTGTGGACTTTAAATACTCTTATAATCACAGACACTTGCATTTTCGTAGAAACGTTTTAATTACTTTATTTGCAATTTTTTCCACTATTAGCATTAGTTTTGCAGTATTTGCATTAGTAGCAGAGTAACGAATTTAAAGCAAACGACACATGAGAATGATTCATTCATTTGATAAAGGTCAATGATAAACTGTCTGGCCAGTCTAGCAGGTTAGGTGGACGTGTAATTATATTAATAAAGAGTGCTTTTAACACCTTTCTTGGTAGCTATTTAGCTAAATGGTTGACCGATAACGGAAATTAGGGAAGCGCATGATGAAAGGCTAAATTGTCTATATACAAAAGTTTATGGTTTATGATAACCGTGTCGTGCACGATAACGGCAGGTTATCATGTCTCGGTTCGGCAAAGGTACTGCTACGATTTTCACTTATAAATAAAAGGGTAGAGAGGTTTAATTAATGGCATTTTGTGAAGGCGGGTGTGGCCCATTAGCTGTGCAAACACTGTGGCCTCACGACAACCTCTAATATGTACAGTGTATATTACTGAGCTTACTATGTTATTCTAGTATTTTATCATAAGTAACTAACTAGCTATTTTATTTCAGTAACACTCTATCAATGCACTTCCTGCTACATCTGTGTCATATTTTAATTTAGCAACAAGCAGAGTTTGCAAGTTGTAGTATAAAAGGAGTTTGGTAAATATGAATATTAAGTAAATAGGAATATTTGTGCTTAAAGAACTTTTCCAATGATAATGTCCTTAATACATATTCCAAGGTTGATAGTATTCATAATGTAGGTTACACATAAATTGCAGTCAAATTAAATGTTACAATTTCGGTTAAAAGTACGTACGGGTGATAATGAGTGCCGTATTACACTTGCGCAATAACAACAGACCTTTAAACTCTTTTACAACGCATGAGTTTTAGTTTTACAGCGACCGCGAAAGTAGTCCACGATTACACGATGAAAAATCATATAATTTTCTAGGAAACGCGTGTGTTTAGTGCGTGCAAATATGATATAATAGGCGGAGGTGTAAACAGAGGGCCGAGCAGGTAATGCTCTACATCGGCGGATTTATAGGCCATGAGGGAATTAGGGTCAGGACTAGTGTCCTTTACGAGTTACGACTGTGACACGCATTTGCTTTTACACATTTTCATGGACATTTCTTTTATGTGCGTGCTCCGGTCGGATAAAATGTCAAGCACGAAAAAAAGTTTTAAGCTTAAAACGTAATTCAAGAAGTAATATAATTGTATTACGTTTTAACACAGATACGCAAATAACTAAACGCAAGTGTACCTAACTAAAACTGATTTTTGAACGTAGGTGGTTGCATTTATCTGATTTCAGAATGTATATACAGTACATAATTTTTAAACGTGACCCTACAAATCTAACGCAAAAAAAAAATAAAAAAAATCTTGTAAGAACAAATTGAATGTCTTGGAGGCACATACATAGATCGGTAAACTAAAACTCGGAATTAGATTTTTCAATATAAATGATGATTTTAGAAGCTTTTAACTATAATAGCTACTTAATTACCATATTTACTTATACGTAGTAAGTACCTAGTTATTATAAAGCTGAAGTTTGTTTTTGGTTGAACGCGTGAGTCCTACTTGTTCAAATTGGAAAATTATTTTTGTATTGCATGATCCCTTCATCGAGGAAGGTTATAAGCTAAGATAAAACATTACGCTGTGCTTAATATGAGACTAGCAGCAGGTGTTACAGCGGTTAAGCTAGTGGTGGCGACTTGGTGAGACACAATATATATATTTTTATTTGTCTTATATAGGTACCAGCACTCAAGAGGTTTAGTACCGTACCGTGAATTATTTACATATAGATAAGGATATTAATTAATTATTATCACACGGCATGATTGTCATATTTATAGGATAGCGTGGAGAGGTGATAACTACGGATATGGTCATCCTTTAATTAAATCTTTGATAAAATATGATAAAACAAGGAAACTTCGTTATCCCAATTATTTTGGCACAAAACGAACACATTTTGGAGGGTTATTATTATTATTATTTTAAAATGAATTCTACATCAGACGACGTAATTAAATATTTTAGTGAATGTGCGTAGTTCAAGAAAACTCAATGAGGACAAATCAGTGAAGTGTGAATTGGCTTTCCTATAGGTACTAAATTCCTAGCGTTGCGTGATGCAAATCTCATGCAAATATTGTAATACATCTATTAAAGGGTCCATTGGCAAGGCCACAACAAGTCGGTCAACGGGTCATAGTACGAATCGTGAGGACGCACCCAGAACTCGTCGGCGCGCCCAGCGGGAGGGAGGATATGAGGACGTTACTCCTTCCCGCAATGCGGTGATGCGAACCTCCTGAGTACTTAACTACATGCCTTCAACGAGAAGAAATAGTAGGATAACCCTAAACCGTCTACCGTCATCTCTGAACCTTAGCATAATAAGCATTCCCAGTCATTAACATAGGTACGTCATGCATGATACGTCGCGCGCCTAATGTTTCTAGCGGGCGTGTATGTGGCAGTTATAAAAGTCCAAAATGACTATGTATCGGGCGCAGTAGTGACGTAAGATTTATTTTGGCAGTGTTAATGCAGTAGTGATGTGAATAAAATATATAATTTTAAAGGCGCGGCGATAAACTCGGTGCCGCCACGCCGGCCGGCGACGCCGCGGCCGGTTCCGGAGCATTGCGTCACATCAAGAATGTTGCTTGTTCTTTCGTATTTCTTTTTTTTACAACCTGTAGGATATATTTAACACAAAATGCTCTCATTTTCAGGATGTATGATTTTTGTCAATCATAATTTGTACACTTACTAACAAAATGTAATAGTTTGTAAAGAATGTTAGTAAGAAATCAGTCAATAATATCTTTGCTTCGTAAAATTTAATAGGTTAACTATTTTAATAAGATTGGGCATTGTGCAGCAAGTGACAGCAATTTTCAAATTAAATAATGACCATGTAAGAAAAGTTGTTAGATGTGGGAAATAATTTCATTGAAAGGGCTCAATGGCCGAATGGCTTAATACTCACAACACAACAGGCAATAAGTAATATTATTTTAATTACACAATTTGCTTCGGCAGCTTATAAATAACACACCTAACATATTCAGAATTAACAAACTTACTTGGTTGTCTTACTGCCTAATTAAGTATTAAAAATAGTATTTAGAAAATAAATAGGTACCCACACACAATCAAAATAAGATACCATAGATACTTACTAAGTAACAAACTGACAGGCAACACTATCCGTACAAGTACTACTGCTAGATAGTACTTGGTCATGTTGATAAGTTACTGTAAACAATAGGAAAAAAATTAAATAAGTATATGATCCACTAAATGTTTTAATCACTGATATCAGTGTGTGTACTGTGTACCAACCATTCAGGTCAAATTGTTGTGTTTGGTTTATTTTTTGAAATATAGGAGTAAACAAAGCTTAATAAAATATGGAAGACAAATAGTAGTAGTTGATTAATTATGTTTATTTACCAACCATAATACATTAATACACTGCATATACAAATAACTAACTATACAAATGGAAATGTATCTTATGTATCAGATCATAGAATGAATTTTATATAAAACCATTTTATAATATATATTATGACTTACTTTTGATAAAAACAATTTAGGCAGTATTTATTTAGTTCCTGACTACATGTCATGGAACATAGTTTATTTTGTTATATAGAAAAAGCTAAATTATCTATATATATTAGAAACAAATAATCAAGATGTTAGAATTTTCCAGGCAATTCAAATTTCAAAATTGTTTGTGTAATATTAATTTACATGCAAACATAGCATACACAAATATTTACTCTCAAAATTTTGCATATATTGTTGATTAAAAATAAGAACATAATTCACCAATATTTACTTATTTGTTTCTATCTATATTCTCAGTAAACAAACAGAAAAATTACATAATTCTCATAAAATAAATAAATTTCTACTCGCCGACATAAGAAAACTACGAAATATTTTTACTTACCTATTTTTGTTATTAAGAAAAAAAATATCACGACATTTCATCAACACACCATCACTGCAAACGATAGTCAAATCTCGATATTATTACATTTAAATCCATGTATTCAAACATTTCACGACATCGTTATATTTCGTAAAACAAAAACACGACCACACACTCCACTACAAATCCAATTTGACATTATTTGACACTTAGCACTTTGACAGTACGAAAAGAAATCAAGAAAACGTGTATTATGTTGCCAGATAGCGAAATGAAAAAACTTCTAATACGTTCTGAAGGAGCTGTGCTGTGCCTGTGTTCTTAACTACAATAAGGGTTTACGGGTTAACAGGTCTATTCACATAAAGACATAACAATGCGCGTACATTTAAAAAAGAGGCCTGAAAAAGGCCGATAAGCTGTGCCTGTTATCTCATAAGACCTGTATATATTACCTTAACATGCAAATGAAGAGTTTGAGTTTGAGTTTGAGGCTCAAATTATAACCCTATTTTCTACATGATAAAATACACATTTCGAGTACCTTGTGCATTGTGTTCCAGTACCTTCAAGTTGCATCTCGATATGAATGGACCCTAATGATTTTTAATTAGAACTTGTAAATGATCTACTACCTAAATTAAGAACCTCCTGCTTTTTGTCTTATGGGAAGGTAGATAAAAAAGAAAGACAGTTGTCATTCATTTATTTAGGTACACACTTACGTATAATTTCAATAATTTGTGTTTTATAAGTTGACATGTTATAGAAGAAAACCCCAGTAGGAAGGAAGACTACGTTTTTTTAAAGACGAATTCTTAATATTTTTGTATTTAACTTTTCTACCGTGTATGCAAATATTTTTCATTTAGGTAATATTGTCGTAATTACCGATAATAGTGATGCGATTGTTAAACAATTTTACGGAATATTATCGGTTCATCTTGTTATTTTTTAGAAAATAAGACCAATGTATTTTTTATTCTTTTATTTAAAAAATATATTAATTTCTTACTCAGAAATAAACATTTCATTAAAAGATTTATGCCTTTTCAAAATCGATTTCAGGCGTAGACACTCACCACTAGACTGAATTTATTTTTATTGCGAATTAATGGCGTAGCCAGGTGAGTTTTCTTGTTTATTTCTCATTTTTCATAGTGTTCCATGGCTTTCAATTGTTTTGTCTAAATGTTTTTCATCGAGCAAAATATTTAATCTTCTATAAAGTCAAAATTTTTCCACCTTATCCGTTTTTATTGCACGAAAAACCAATATTACGAGTAATGAACACGTATTGGATTTGTTCCGAATTTATTCGCTAGGATCATTCATTGTCATCACTTTCACTTTTCACACGATTTGCTATAATAGTGGTTTTAGTGTGCATCGAGGCGCTGTCGCCATGGATGAGTGAGTTTCCGATATTTTCCCTTTATTTGGATGTATCATTGTGAATAATTATGACAAGGTTACTCATAACTACTCTCCAACAAAAATGTGACAATCATTGTTCATTTTTGTTCTACATAAGTAAATTAGCCAAACCTGTGGTTCTTATGGAAGTACTGCTTTATTTTTAATAGCACCATGTCGACCCTAACGAAAATGACCCGCACGGTTAAAAAACTGGAGGTGCCCAGACCCCTGAAATCGACGACCAGTTCTGCACACAACCGCAACTCTGTGTTGGACGTCAAAATAAACTCTGGTAAGATTCGTATTAGATTATAGATTATTCTACCTAGCTGTGATTTAATAAGAAAATATTCCAATTAGATCACAATATTTGTTTGTTATTGTTTGAGATTCTATCAAGATTTATTTTTATTGGTAAGTTTTTATGAATTTACTCCAAAGCGTGTATAGTGTATAGTAAATCTACTATGGTGGTTAATCAGTCAGTGATTAACAAACTTTTTACATTGGATTAGTATGTAATGTAAAAAGTATATTAAAGTATTATAACTACTATTATGAGTATATGAACAGTAGGTATGTCTGTCTGTCTCTTCAGGGGATAAAAAGTGTAACATTGTGTTGTTGTTTATCTTTTGAGGTTTGTATGTAAACAACAGTACCTAGTACAGTATTAAATAAATTATTTTTTAAAAAAGCTAGGTAAACAATATGATTAAAACATATTTTTTTGTTTAATTACATGCAACAGATGAAAGAGGTAAGTATTAATAACATAGATAACCTATGCTTCTTTTATAAGATGATAGGAAATTGGTTTCAGTAATGAACTACATTTATACCACTATAAAACTACAGTGTTATTGTGCTCTTTCAAAGTTTGTTATTTATTTACACTTGTTAGTACCGATTTTTCCAATGCCAGATAAATTTTAACTGAGGAATAACTTTGAATATTCGACAATTCTTCCATACTAAAAATGTCAAATGTCAATTTAAACCTACTATTCAGAAAAAATTGACATTATTAGATTTTTAACTCTTTGAGTACCGTCATTATAGACACAATTAAAGAACAATAGGTTGCAGTCACCGGTGACCGCTTGGTGTTTGACAGTTTAAGAGGATTTAAAATTACTGCTGTGTACTTATAAGAAATATTTATTGTAAGTAGTTCTACATCTACAGAAACCATGTACAATAGGGGGCAGGTCAACCTACTCTTTTCTGGTCAAATTTCTTTATTAGATTTTAACCTTATTGTTGAGAAATAAAGTCGAAAATCCAATGACAAAAATTGACACATTGAAGTAGGTTGTTGTGCCACTGTACCACATATTTTCATATATCTAAAAAATAAAGTATGAAATAACCAAATTATGTAATACTATCAAAATGTGGCATGTAAATCCCAACATGTACCTATCTATCTGTTATTCTCTTTTGATGTTGGAAAATTTTTCTTTGTTTCCAGTCGATGACCTCATAGTGTTGACAGAAGCAGTGGCGTACCAAATGATGCAGGGTAATTATGACCGTGCGCTTCAAAGTAATGTGGCCACAATGTACTCTAATCTGAAACTTTATGGCGCTCAGCTCGAGGCCCTTTACAAGGACTTTCTTGATAGGTTTGTAACATCTTAGTAACTAATTAACAGTATTTATTTGAAACTGTTTAAAACCTGCAATACTATGAACTTAACAATAATATTTACATACATACACACAGGCTTTATTTAGTTTGTAACACATATAATTTACTTTCCAGATACTTTGTTGTGTTCCGCAACGGTTCGCAGGACGAACGACTGGATAAGAAAACTAGACTTCATCTTCTTGAGCTGATTGAGCTGCGCGCCAAACTCTGGCAGGGCTCCGACTACATGAGTCAATATTATAGACACCGTGGCACCCATGCTGAGGTAAATTATCTTTATTTTAGTAACTAGCATTTCATCTGTGATTTTGTGTCAATTTAATTTTGAAAACTGAAATTTCTGTGTAAATTGTTAAGGGTAAATTGTCGTCCTTCCCCCAACCTCTTCAGAAATATTAAAATCTTAAAGGAGTTTAAGGTGTGGCTTTTTCAGTAAACTCACAAATCTAGTTGCTTGTGCAATATTGACAGTAACTTCCGATAAACGTGCAGCTGACCTAGTTAAGTAACGCCACGTATCCGCGCTGAGTGCACGCTGTAACTGTTGTGTATGCGGCGCAGCCACTACTGGTGCCGACGATGGAGGGGTCGGGTTCGGGCGGCTCGGTGTCCCCTACGCTGGCTGCGCCCGCCGAGCCGCCCTCTCTTCTCGGCCCCGGCGAGATCATCAAACCGTCGGGCAAATTCCCTAAGCCCACCAAGATCCCCGGCAAGAACTATTCCAAGGACGAAGTCGTCATTAGAAATGCCGACTCTGGAAAAGGTGACAACGTATCATTTATTATATTTTTCTAAAAGGGTACTTACTTGCATGTTGAATATACATCGAGTATTTGTCAATAAATCAGGGATAACTGATGCATGACTGAGGTCGATATTATGCTTATCTATTCTTAGTATGTATTACTTAGTCCTGTTTTATAATTATGTACTTTGATAATGCATGTAGAATAGTAATAATAAGTGAAATTGTAAATTACGTGATATTTATCTAAATCTTATTAATGAACCAAAAATGCTTTACTTTAATTTCTTTAGTCCATCTGTCTTGTATAATGTCTAAATTGAAGGTATATTTGAGTATTGTTCTTTTGGGACCTTAATGTGATGATAACGCCAAAAATGTGAGTAAGTGGGTATAGGAGAGCCCCCTTGCGGCATATCTGAAGTTGTGTTGTGGTGTTACAGTGATGGGTATCAAGGGCAGGAGGGTGCACATGATCGAGGAGCTAAGTGACACGATTATATCGTTTCAGCGAGGTATGAACGCACGGTGCGGGCTGTGACGCGCTTGCGCATGGTGTGGCGGGCTCTTCTCATCTCCTCTACTTTCTCTACCAAATGATTAATACTTTTTACTATCCATTTCATTCCAGTTTAACACGAGTCACATTAACAAATCATATCCAACAGAATCTTATAACGTTAGGCTGTAATTTTATACCTCTAGCAATCTCCTTCTAACGTGTACAATATTCATACTTAATTGTTTGGGAATGGTATCTGTGAGTGAGTTATTAATTTTTAATTTTCAAAATACCCATATTTCACCGCCTATTAATCGCAACTAGCTATGAGCTTGAAGTCCATAAAAAACACATATCGACTCGTGCGAGCTCGTCAATCACAGGGATACTGGTGATTTCAGTGAGTCCCGGTGCGAAGGAGCGTCTCGTCCAGATCACTGGGCCCAACGAGGAAAACGTGAAGTGAGTATATTACAGGTAGTCGTGGATTAAGTAGTGTGTACCGTGCGGAGTGTACGAATGTTGCGGTTGTACAGCCACGCCAAGCACCTGATCGGCGACACCATCCGCCGCAACGCGTCTCCCGTGCGGCTGGACGGCGCGCTGGACGCGCTGCCCGGCGCCGCGCTGGCCGGCTCGCGCGCCTCGCTCGACTCCAACGGATCCGACGACGCGCCGCGCGCCCGAGAGGTACCTATCACTCGCTATGTTCTTTCGTCCGCCTTAATACTGGATGCTGAAAGATATTTGTTGTTTTTAGAAATCCCCGCACAATGCCCGGGCTCTATTGCATAGTTACTCTACGAACGATGCCGCATTGGGAGAGTATAAGTACACTGTGACTTTTGGACAACATTCCATTAGGATCACGGGCCTTAATTTGGATCTTGTAAAGGTGAGGTTTACTTTGATTGTTGTTATTCAAGCCTAATTAGTTAATTATTAGCGTTTAGACAGTTTAAGATGGAGGAGTACATGAGAGAGGTTTGATGTTTAGACTGCGAAGCTAGTGCTAGACGAGTACTTCGAGAGTGCGGGCGCGCTGGAGGCGATGGGCGCGGGATCGGGCGACTTCTTCACTCTGTCGCAGCGCCCCGCCGCCGCGCTACTGCTGCGGGACGACGCCGCGCTCAACGGCGCCGACGATGACGTCTTCCTCAACGACGACAACGCCGGTAACACTCCCTGTTGCAATCTACCGCCTACTACAGCGCATGGTTAATTACTTTGGTTTTCTAGCTACTGAATGATGTTTCGCCTTAATACAGAAATAGATACGTACAAGGTGCCATTTTCAAGAGAATATAAATCAGCATGATAAAATTTTTAGTAGAATTTCCAATTTATATATTTTGGAAGCATGAATGCACTTGCAATAATGGTGTGCAGTTTCTTAAATAACAGATAAGATCTCTCTCAGTATATTTTACATAGGATGAGACTGACTGAAGCATGTAGACTTAAGAATATATATTTCAATTCAACATTCTCATAACTTAGCCATAAGTCCATATCTTTCAGACTTCAATTGTTTACTCATTTATTCGAACATTAATTTTGTGTTGGGTCAGAGAATATTTACTAAGTATGAATATAATATGTATTTATTTTATTGACAAATATTAGTATGTATATTCAACCACATCGATCACGGTCGTGGCAGAGTACTTATTTAATCATTTATCATTTCGTAACGACCGAGTCATTAGTAATCACTATTGTCTGCCATGCTGCTTAACCCGAACCGTTCTGTACCGAAGGAACCTCACCACCACGAACTATACCACTCCCTCGTTTGGAAAATTGATTTAAATGTAAAATGGAAGCCTCGTGGAGGCCCGAGTAAGTCGAGGGCGTGGGTGGTGCGTGGCGGTGCGGAGTGTGGAGTGTGTGTGACGTTGTGCTGCAGCGTGCGGGGGGGAGGACGCCACGCCGCGCCGCCCGCGCTTCTCGCGCGCCACCAGCATTGACAAGAAAGAAGGTAACGCCGCCACATCTACTCGCTTCTACTCACCGACACACACTACCTACTTCTGATTATAAACACTCAAACACCCCATGTGCCATTCTTTTTCTTTTGGTGCCCCTTTTTGATGTAAAAAATTATTGTGTAATTTTATTAATTTCTCGTTCATTCATACATCCATATTTAAATACCTAATTGTATATAATACAATTTAAGGATGCGTGATCTACAGTCTAAAACACTTACCTTTTTTTTATATTTGGACCATGTTGTCCCATAGTTTTTTCATCTAAGCCTCCTAAGTGTTGCATGTCCATAAGTCACACCCACATACTTATTTCTCTAGCCTGAAGACATTTGTGTAACATTCAATAATTATGTGTATTTCAATTCGTGCTAACTTTTTCATGTACCTTTATTGTCATTCCCATGTCGCTCTATAAAATATCTAAAATGCAGAAGTCAGTCCAAAGTGGTCACGACTAATATTATCTATTTATATAAACAATCTAAATGATTACTACTAATCGATCGTAGTACATAATGCATTTGAGTGTGCTTTGAGTGCGTCAGCTTGCATCAGTTTGAAAAATAATGTGCACGTGTCTATGCATTTTTGTGCTTTGGTAAAATGAGATCGGGAACAAATTCTTACAAGATCAGTGATCGATAGCGATTTTTCCCACTAACTTAAAGATAGGTGCTTCTTAAACTCGTGTGACCGCTACAGCGAGACCAGCGAGATAGCGCTCGGTGTGGTTGCAGGCGCGGCGAGCGGGGCGCGGCAGACGTACTCGTACGAGACGCTGGTCCAGTACGCGGACTCGCCGCTGAGCAAGCTGCCGCCGAGCGGGCTGGCCGCGTTCCCGGCCGAGCTGGCGCGCAAGGTAACGCTGGGCGGCCGGCGGCCCGCGCCGCCCGCGCCGCGCGTGCTCACGCCCTTCCGCGTGTGGGCGCCGCTGCACCACCCCAACTACCTGGCCGCGCTGCTCTGCCGCAACTTCTACTAACCGGCCGCCGCCGCCCCTCCCCCGACCCTTGCACGTCTCGCGGCTTGCTTTGTTTCACCCGCCTCTCTAACCTGCATGATGGTTCGGTGCATATTACCCTTTTAAGTCATTCTATCGAATCTCGAGGTACCTCCTTTTTAGTTAGGTTTGTCGAAATTCTTAGTACCGCGCGTCTCTCTAGCCGTCTCCGGGCTCTAGACCCGGCCCCCCATTAGCTGATTAAGCGTAAACGCTAGGTATAAATTATAAGCGATTCTTTAATTAGGAAATATTGATCTCATTATCTAAGTTGTAAGTTAATTGATAAGACTGACGCTAGTATTATGTGGGAGTGGCCCCTGACAGAGTTCGGAGGTGGCGGTAAATAATGTGCCGCTAACATTTCGAATGCCACGATTAACTCTCTGTAGGCTACTTGACCGTATGCCAACTTAAAGACTGATTAAGAATCTCACCATTATGACACAGGAAAATCTTTATCGTTTTAGAAAAAAAATATTTTTCATTATTGAATTAATGAAAGAATTTTTTAGTACTAGTATATAAAGGTGTTTATTGACAGAATAATATTGATAAATCTTTTACGCAACGTTATTTACATGAGTAAACAGTTTTGAAAGCTTTATTATGTGTTTATTAACAATGCTACTAAAATTTGTGATGTCTCTTTGTTCATGCTGCTCGGACAGAATGGGTATTCGAGAGGGGATCGCTACAGGTAGAAAGTGTTCGCCTATTAACTTGAGTGAAGTTCTAAATTGTCACTTGATTTTGTTGTGTTCATTTATTGTTATTGTTTTTAATTTGAGTAAGCATTAAAATTATCAGTGTTATTTCAATTGATTGTCAATTTATGATTTTTAAATATAATAATTTCAAAATATCTCGTCTTTTGCCTGTTCTCACGCTTACCTCCTAACTAACTAATCCTGCTAAATCTTTCTGCGGTGATCGGGACTTCCTCGTAAATAACTCACAGCGCCGGCAGGTCGGTCACAGTGACTAACACACACTCGCACCATGCCAGCTAACTCGGTGGGCGGCTCGGAGCATAAATGTACCAGTCCGATGTGTCCGACAGAGTTGCCTGGACTTCGACAGCGCCAGCTACTTGAAGAAGGTCCGCGCGGCGGGCGGCACGACGGTGGCGGCGGTAGACGCGCCCGACTCGCCTGAGCCCGAGTAACTCGCGCCCGGACGTTCGCTCGCCGCACCCACACTGCACACTACTACAAAATTGTTTAACGTAACGATGTATAGCTAACGTAGGCACGACTGACACGGTCCGCACGGCGAGCGAACTACTAGCACTTCCCGGCAGCTTGTGACCGAGGCCGCTACGGACGAGCGCCGGCTTCTATTGAGGCGACGGCACGGGCCGTCCGATGTGTCCGTCCTTACGACTCTTTTATTTTAGCGAGCTTCACTCTTATCTAATTTAGCAGACTTATCTTAAAAGTATTAGCACACCAAAATATTTATTTTTATAGTGGTGGGTATACCGTACCTCATTTTTGTGAATATTTATTACATAAATTAGCTGTGGATCTGACTACATACGAATAATGTGATAAAAAGATAAAAATGCATGTAAAAGGCAAATTCTATGACTTGCACAAATCCACAGTCTTACGTTGATCTCCCATCAATGTTTTTTTTATTTCCAACGTAAAATATAACATTCTGAACAATACATTTTGGTAATGTCCACTTCGTCTTATAAACAACATTGATATTTTCATTATTTTGTTGTATATATTGACTCTGTTAGTTTCGGATATCATAGAGTGATTCCATTTATTATTATAAGAAGAATGCATGCATTTCTTTCGTGTGTTTGTATACTCATTTTCAGACTTTCTAGTGTCTAGTCCTGACGAGTAGATGTCGATTCTCACTATATCGTAAGCTTTTATATTTCCGAGGAAGCCTGCCAATCAATATATAATTATTAAAGGAATTAGGTAGTATGGTTTTTCTTTATATTATTTAAAATATTGTTGTATTATTTTTGTTGTACTATTAGAGCTTTTAAATAAACTTGCTGTGCACTAAACCAAATAATTATTGTAGTGAGTCCTAAAATATATTACACTAACGTTATTATCGAATAAATGGTTGCCAGGCTTTCTTATTCTAAACGGTTTTAGTAAACGTGACTTGAATATTAGCGATCCGAAATATGATATCGCAGTGATATAGGATTTTATTTCCATGTTGCAAAATTTAAAGTTTATTTTGTCGGCGGAACCGACATAAAACCATTAGGTCATCACTCGTTCACCTTTTAAGTAAACTGAAAGTATTATAAAATTATTCTCGTTGCAGGTATTACTTAAAAGACTATAAATATGTTATTTAATTTTATTTACTAGAGGCTAGCGAGTGATGCTTCACAATAACTTATCTGCAGATAAAAACAATCTTTAAACGTAATTGGTGCTTACTCCTTGGGGAAGTATTATCGTTGAATTTGTAATTAAAGATTTATGTTTACACATTTGTTTTTATATCATAGACGTATGGCTATAATTGTGAAAATTGATATACTAAATTTTCTAATATAGAAGCGTTTTATTTCTTAACCTAATTTGCATATTTTATTCATAATTCTTTTTTCACAAAACAAAATTACTTCAATATCAAACGGGTCAAAAGAACACTGAATTTCAAATAAAACTTGTGTACTGTAGGTAACCAATTCTATATTTACATTAACACGATAAATAATACACTTGATTTAAATATAACAACACAGCGAATGCCGTCGCAAATGCAAAATAATTTAAATTAATTAATAAGATAAAAATATTTTATCGAGTTTCTAGTTGCAATGTTCGATACACAAGGCTTGACATCGATTAATATGATTGACCATGATACCATAATACGTTTAGTACCTAAGTGTACGTATAAACTAGACAGAGATTCCATCCACTCAAGTTTTAGGTACCGACTGGTGTTCATCACACTGATGAAACATTAACCTTTTCGCCGCCAACAACTTCTATAGAAGTTCAGGATTTTCGTGCCGTCCACGCCACTACTTCTATAGAAGTTCATTGTATCTACCTACTATAAAAAATACATTTACGATACATAAAACATTTGTTTCTTTGTAATTTTGTAATATGGACACGACGAACTATTTTTTCTCATGCAAAACAGACTATTTTCTGTTTTAAAAAGGTAAAACATAAAAGGTTTCAAATAATTTTATATCCCGCACGCCAACGACTTCATATCAAGTAGGCCAGTGATGTGACGCGTAAGGAGCATTCATTAGAATCTTTATTTACTATAATATTTGTTTTCTTTTCCATCCAATAGTTTTTTGAATTCTATGAATAAAAAGAAATTCCGGTCAGTAAATAACGTATTACAATGCGTTTCAAAATTAATGTACATCTACCTATCAAATCATTTCATTAAAATTAATTATTATGTACATACTGAGGGTTTTCGATATTGCTAGACCCATCTCTACGTAATGGCAAGATGTCGAGTGACACTAGCGCCGTCAACTTCAATAGAAGTAAACCTGTGACGTCGTAAGCGCTTAGGCGTCAAGGTCATTGTGTCATAGTTCCGGGCGACGCGTGCACGCACGCAATCGCACTTAATCGATTAATCGCACGGCCTATACCTATAATTATTTTCATGATTATGAAATATCCAAATGATTGAGTCATTTTGATTCGATTACAAACTGTTTGGGTCGCGAAAAATTTGTGATCGACTCAGGTCTATATTTGTTCGCCGACACAGCTAAAAGTTTGCGAAACCGAGAGCCGCAACGAATAGGTATTTTATGACTACCTAAAATCCATCAAACGTGCCAGTTTTTCATTTGCATTAAATGAAAAATAAGCTATTAAAGTTTAGTACATCTGTATTAAAATAGTTACTTACCATCCATTTCCAAAACTACACATATGTTGCCACTTTTAATCACTACAAACAATGTTCCTGATCGTGACCTGACGTTAGATTTTAAATGTAAACTAAAACCAAAAGCAAACCAAACTCGATAGAAAGAAAGAAAAGCATAGACAACTATTCCTTACGAAATGTATCGTGCTTTGAACGCCAATGACTTGATATGAAGTAAACAGACTACGTTATGAAATGAATAGTGAAGTGGCTAATGTTACGAATTATTATTATTATCTCTAGCAACTCTATGCATGTATCTTCATCTCTGATAACGGATACCCATTTTTCTTAGTATAAATGTTCATAAAATAAAACAAATTACCATTATAACTTAACAGTTTGTATTTTTAATTGTAAATTTGAGTACCAATTTAAATTTACACATATTTTTTTTCATTATCGACATGATGTTACCGCCATCCCTACTTTCGTACTATACATTTATTATACATTTATACGTTGGCGTACGGCGACACATCGTGTTTAGTATAGCTGGGCGGCGAAAAGGTTAATATATTTACTACACATTTTCTATCAAGGTGTGGATATTTAGATGACGCGCATTGTTTTATAACTATGACTGCGGTCATGCAGAGATTCCTCTACATTATTGGACTCTGTCCAACATACGTACAAACTTCCATAATGGAATGCATATTTTCAATATATGGTAAAAGCACAAAATGCAGGGATTAGTACTAGCAAGCAGACCAAAATAATGGATTCTTTGATTACACGATTGATCAATGGGGACTACCGTATTTTTGCTCAACAGATGGCGCTAGTGTGCAGCTCTGGTTCTTCGTCCGATAGGGAGTTTGCTAGTGTCACACCATTAGACGTTCAATATTAGACAGTTGCTGTGATAGGACTACATAAACCTACCTACATTAGCACCATATGGTGAGCAATACAACGTTAGCCCCCACCAACTCAAAAGCTCGCTATCAAACGTATTTCAAAACTAATAAACTATAATTTTACTGAAAATCAGTAAAATTACATAACAAATTACATGTTATGTAGGTATGTAATTTTACTGAAAATTATTATCAAATACAAACTGCCATAATTTGGCAGTTAAAGATAGTGGCAAATTGATCGATGAACACTTTATTCTTAAGACTATAATACAAGGATGTAAAATTGTATAGGATTTGAGCTCTAAGAAACGTTGTGCCATATTACTATAACAAAAAAACTAAATAATAAAACCAAATTACCCTAGGAATGTTATATTCCATGTACCTAACTAATTCCTAGTTCCAGGCAGAGACACCACTGTTCAGCGTCGCCTGATTGGTTATTGCTTTTTGGAAGCTTATTGACGCGATACTAAAAGTAGCGTGTCTAGCTGGCTTCTACTTATTGTTTGTTAATATCAACCAAACTTAGGCCTAGGTTTATGCTGTAAGCATTTCTTCACAAATAACTTCTACTAGCTTCTCTTACATTAATATTATACCCCAGACATTTTTCTTAAACACTTTAAATGCGAATAGAAATATTATAAATAAAGAACAAATCGCATTAAATATCGAGGTAAAATGGTAAATACTTATTAAATGCGCATTACGTGGAAAGACTATTATTACGTCCAGCGATAGCGCGGTATGATTTATATTCTTTCAGCTAATTTGTCAGTAATATTAGCAGAACGTAATCTTGCGTGTTGCATTATGTCAGCAGAAAGATCATCTACGTTAGTGTAGCGACATTTCTGGAAGTTAAATAGGTCCGATATAAACCCTACAATTTCTGACTGAAAGGACTCGCAAACATCGCGAAGGCGTTCGTTAGGGCCCAAGAACCCCCATACGAGGACTGGCAGCAAATGCTCTGATATAGAATAAAAATGTGCCATGAAACCATCGGGGAACTGGAGGTAGCGCCGCTTTGCCTTTATTACTGACCACACCGCCGTTGTCAACGCCTGAAATATTAAGTTATCATTAGTAGTGTCACTTGGATTTGACTACATATTAAGTGAAATAAGTAACAAAGTACATACACTCTCTTTGAATCCGTCTGATAACCATCGATTGCGAACTACAGCAAGGACTGAGGAAGGTGGAGACGCGAGATCTTCAAATGCATCTAATAGTATGTAGTCCAACACCACGTCATAGAATGTTAGGGCCTGCAACAGAAACAAAAACTTAAATTAGTCCACCGTCTGTCAGCTTTAAGTTTTTTTCGGTGGAAGCTCGTGGGCAAGCACAGAAATATTTATGCCATCACAAATACCAACCTTAACACCTTTAGTCGTAAGTTCATTTTCTATTGTTATCCAATTGGCTGCATCTGTCGCCCAAGACACCATTTCTTCGTAAGCCACCAGAAATTCCTTTGGTTCCTGGTGAAGGTGTACATATTTAAAAAAAAAACCAACAAGTCCACATATTTGAGCTGGTTATATCTATCTGCAATCTATAACTTATGCAGTAAACAGTTATAATTTATCATGAATATATTTAATGTGTGTGTACACACATTGAGTTGTAAAGACTAAACACAGCACGGGATTATGTACTCTCTGCTCATAATATTAATGTTGAAATTTGCTCGGACGGACCCTTGGATGACTAACGGGTTACAGATATGTATGTGTTTCAAACCTTGTCAGCGAAGAGAAGTAGGTCAGTGAGCACTTGTCTGCCGGCGTCGACGAACCAGGCCCAGATCGCGGCGTCCTTGAACACCTGCGTGAAGGCCTGGCGCAGACAGTGCAACTTGCACAGGAACTCCGAGTCTGTACTGCACTGCACCACCTCTGTGCGTAGCGTCCTGCAATGTTTTGTACGAAATATTTAGGTCATGCTGGATTTCTTTTTATTACGTGGACAAACCACAGGCGGCGGAGTTTGTAGTCTGACAGACAGTCGGACAGTATAGCCTGCCGCACTGCTGACTATAAACTATTTTTTTTTATTACTCAGGAGTACTGTTAGTATTAGCATAGATTAATTAAAATAATTGTCTATTATTAATTATATATTTATATTGTATTAATTACTGAATCACTTGTAAGCATAATCTGAAATAGCACCTTGTGCATCGCAGTTGACAACCAAACGTCTTTGCCCCATGGAGACTAGGCAGAAACAAGAAAACGCCACCTACAGTCACTCCTTACAGACATCTTTCTTGCTTCTATCACGTTCATGCATCTATACATGTTTACCTGTAAGGAATGCCGACTTCCAATTGTTTTACAGCTGCCTGGTATAATTCCAAGTTTTCTAATTCTGGTAATGTTTCTGTTAAATCATCAAAGTCTCGTAGATCAGCAACCTGCAAATCAAAATTGCTTTTGTATCGCCTGCCATTTTAGGCCACTGAGTGGCTGCATGGGTTCAATATTCAAGGGCAATTTTAGGAAGTTTCTAAAAATAGGAAGAGCTTAGATATGTTTACTAGATTTTTTTAAGCAGTTATAGTTACATTGTTGATTTTGAGTAGATATCTTGATTTGATCATAAAATATCTCTGGATAAAATTATCTAGGATCCCATTACAGCACTTAATGTCACTGTACAATGTAACACCCAGTTTTCACTATTTATGTTATGAGTCCCATGTAATAGAGGGTGACCCTATATTGCCATATACCGGACACAATTCCAGACTCCGTGCTACTACTGAGATTTTTTAAAAAAGCCCAATAATAGTAGATTTTTATACAGTTAATTAAGTAGGATAAAAACGCAGTAATACTTTGACCGACCCGGGAATCGAACCCGAGACCCTTTACCCAGCAGTTGCACTTACGGCCACTCGGCCAACGAGGCAGTCAATCCTCATCAGTAGATCGTAAAACTACACTATAAAGTAAGGTGTACCTGGTCTTCTGCGGAGGCGAAGGATTCTGCGCTAGAGTGATGTTCTCTCCGCGTGTGCGAGGAGGCTGTCTGTGTGGAGAGTAGTCGCGAGCGGCGCGCCGGCGTCACGTCCTCGCCCGCGCCGCCGCCACTCTCCGACCTGAACAACACCGACCGCTGGTCCAGGAACAACAGCTCGCACCGTTCCTGGAACCATACACATACGTATCGATTAGCACCACCTATACTCGGGACTTGATTTACTTAGAAATCCTATTAAAATACCAATTTAATAGAATATTTTTACAAAAATGTATGAGAAATGACAATGTGTACCTGTAAAAGATAAGCGTCTTGAAGCAAGTCCTGTATTTCCCTGCAGAACTCCGCCTCCTCTGGCGAGGTGAGAGCCAATGTGCCCGATACTCCACCTCGTGCCCCCAACGAAAACGCGGCCAGCGCGTCCTCCCAGTAGTTTATACTTGTTTCTAATGCCTCCATACCTGGAATGATTAATAAAAATATTTTTAACATAACATCACGCTTTTTTATCCCCAAAGGGGTAGGCAGAGGTGCACATTATGGCACTTAATGCCACTGTACAATGTAACACTTACTTTGCCCGACCCGGGAATCGAACCCGAGACCCCTTGCCCGACAGTCGCACTTGCGACCACTCGGCCAACGAGGCAGTCGGCAAATATTTTTAACAGACTTCAAAAATAATAAAAAAAGTTTCTCAGTTTGACCTGTATGTATGTATGTTTGTGCGTAATTATCTCGCGATTGGCTCAACCGATTTTGATACGGTTTTCAGAAGAGTGTTTGTTACACTTAGGAGAAGGTTTTGGTAACAAACTTTAAAAAAGAAGGGGTTGAAGTCGGTTTTTTAAACAGTTCATAAAAGGTTCATTTACTCTTTAAATATAGGTTCCTACCCATATTTCACGACGTTTAGAAAGGAATGAAAGAACCCTTGGAAGTAATAAATAATAATATAATTCAATAATTATTAATGTTCTATTGCATATTAAAAATAACAATTATTTACAAGCTTTATTTCAAAGGTGGGGCTGAGCAGTATGAGTATAAAAATGTGTCAAAAAACTACATGTAGATAAATATACCTATTTAGAATAAAATAATAGAACAAGTTGCACTAATCCCTAACACAGGACAATCCCTGAATAACAATTCAGACTACAATCAGTTCATGTCTTACAGCAAAATATCTCCTATCACTATTTACATTAATATTGCAAGTGTGTACTAAAAGTAGTAACATAGTATTAGAATTGCCATTACAATATGTTATAATTATCCTTTAAACCTCTTTAAAGTTATTTTTTCCATGAAATGGCACATCATGTCATGAGTTGTAATCCCACTCATATAATTTTTTACATTATTTAATGTCTGTAGAAAACATTAGCTTGTACTGGATGTAATTGTTGCAGGGCATCTTGTACTCCACTGTTCAGATCCTGTACTGTCCCAGCTATGGCTGTGAGAGCATCAGCTATCCGTTCCTCTAACAAGCCCCGTCTTTCCTCCTGACTCCTCATTATATTAGCCATAGATTCTAGTGCATCTGCTATCCTCTCTTCAGCTGCTAATCTCCTTTCTTCAAAGTCTATCGCCCACTTAGGTGGTGGTGACACTCTACTGGGGATATCATCTGAAATAATTATATTAGTTCTCTTTATTAAAATCTCCTGGCGTGCTAGAACTACTTAGATTGTAGTGGTAAGCTTTAATTTTTTCTATGATAAAAAATATTACCTATTGGAGATTCAGGTCCAACTGATTGTCCAAGTTTTGAAGTGCTTGGTGTACGTTTTAATTTAAGATTTTCTAAAGGTTCAGAATCTGAATCGCCTGTAAAGTTATCATTCTGACTAGATGAGGACACGGCAGTGGAAACAGAGCCTTTGCCACTTAGTTCTAAAACTCTGACTTCTAGGTCATTGAGTGGGATACATCTATTTGAACCTCCTTCAGACCCCGACCGAAACCTCCTTGCATTTGCTGCTTTTTTTCTGCACTTGTGTCTCCATTCAAACCAGTACTGGAATGATAAATAATAATAGATAGTACAGATTATTTAATATTTATAAATTAAATATGAACTTCATTAACTATTTCAACACAAATTCTAAAATAATGTTGTGTGTAGGTACCTTTTTCCATCCATCAGGCGTCTTCAATGCCCCTGACTGTACTGCGTTAAGTTGTTTAGCTAAAATTGCCCACTTCTGTCGAGTTTTTTGATGAGAGACCGGCGCACCCGGCATTAATCCTTTAGACATATATTTGTTTTCCTCCAAGAAATTCATTAAAATCTCTAATTGTTGTCTCAGAATACGCCGAGGCGGAGCCATCTAAAAATAAATGGTAAATAAAGAAGACTTTATTTACTTAATTTAGTTCCTTTTAATTAATTTTTCAACAATTACGTAGTGTAGAGATCAGAATACAAGCTCCTACTTACCTTTATTTACTTTTAAATGAAAAAATAAACTAATTAAATGTTAGAAGTTAGTTTGTTTTGATTCAAGAAAAATTATAAACGCGCGCTACATTACATTTGACATAAGCAATCTCCTTCTCAAACGCAGTAATAACAAGAGCGATATGTAATGGCGACCCGTGCCCGTGGATTGCAATGTTTATGATAGTGTAGTGACGACACATCGTGGCTGATGACTAATCGATTTAGTAAAAAGTTCTTTTATTTTAATAAAATATAAATTATGTTAAAAATACCAATACAGTAGGTACATAATAAAACAGTCGGGTAAAAAGTGTTTGTAGCGACTGAAACTTTTCATTCCATTATTTAGTAAGTAAGACGAATCAAAACAAAAACGTCTGGTCTATGCTACACGCATTAGTGTGATACAAATTCAATAGATGGTGCTATTTCTCGACATTTTAACAATTTTTATCGTGAAAAAAAGTTACATAACAATTCCATAAAAAATATTTTATATAAAGAAAATGTGTTTCTGTTTAAAAAAAACTATTAAATTAAAATGCATGTTTTGGATTGCACGCCATCTTGTATCGAGTAGCGGAATCTAAACAAACTGTAATGTGTGGCGTGTAGCGTGATGCTTTTCCCGCCCCGTGACAGAAAATGCCGTTGTTACGAAAGTCCATTATAAGCATTACTAGACGAGTTAACTACATTGATAAATAAATAAGTAGTAAGCCACTTAGATATATTTGGGTGTATTTTTAAGCTTTTATTTTTAATTATTGAAGTTATTTTGCATTGTGCAGGTGGCTGCTGATCTTGCTTTAGAATTCTATACATTAGCCCATGGTATGCCGGAACGTAGAGATATACGCGAGACCTAATGTGTTTCCTATTGTCTCACATGCCGACATACAAGAGGTTTAACTTAATATTCATACATAGCGATAGGTATAATAAAAATATTAACGCAATGCGTAATTTTTGTTATTGGAAAGATAAAGATAATTAAAGGTATTTAATATATCTACCGATACCAAAATAATTTAATAGCATTTAACTTTAATTATAGCAAGGTATGCGATGGTTAAATCTGAGGCCGTGGTTTTGTCCTAAAGCAGTCAAGTGTCAGCTTACCGGCTTACGACCGACACACTAATTAATTTACCCAGCATTTCACTTAGTGAATTCGCAAGTAAACATTATTATTAATTGAGCTTCCATTGAGGGAAGACGCTTAATTGGGCCTCCGGTAATTTCACTCACACGACGAAACACAACGCAAGCTTTGTTTCACGTCAATTTTCTGTGAGGCCGTGGTATCACTCCGGTCGAGCCGGCCCATTTGTGCCGCAGCATAGCTCGCCACACTTACGACCATTCGGGCCAACAAGTATATCGTTGTTAATAATTAAAAAATTAAAAATTAACTCCGTAACTCAAATAAAACATCCCGTAGCGATTCGTAGCAATCACAGACTAATTTGACAGCCATATAAGTAGACATGCCATTTATGGAAAAGTAGTTTTTTTACAACAATGTATTTGGTATGTAATGGCAAGGCTATGAAACTAAGTACATTAACTTCAATTGGTTTTTTTTTCTAAGATTACAATAAGTAAGTGCCTATGTAAGTAACTTGTTTTTTATCTGTACGAAGATTTTCCATAGTCACATTAAGTCACATGGACTTGTGAATTCATAACGTCCAAACAGGTTTTGAGAAGTTCATGTAAGTAGGTAGGTACAAGATGAACAAACTATTTATACTACTAGTACAACTAAGCAAATATTATTCCAGTAGTACGTATAGAATTTATTTTCCCCATATACGTTTAAATATTTACCTAAGGGCTATTATTCACTATTTAGCTAGGTGCTTGGTGATATAGACACCTAGTGATAGGTTAGGTACTAATTTAATGCGACATGATTCCTAGACCTAGGTAGTAAAGTAAAGGAACCGAGCAAAGTTAGATGTGTGACTATGCGACTAGTGTAGGACAAGTTCGTCTGTTTGAATACGATAAACACTGAAACTTTCAGTTATGCTTGAAAAAGCCTTGTTAGCTTAAAATTGTTAAACATTTTATATTTTAGATATTTTGCTATAAAACATCGTTGTAAAAATATTCCTATTTATAAAACTGATTACTTGGAATAGACGAAACTGATGTGTAATTTTTAATAATTGATAATAGGTAACTAATAACAAAATTACGTTGTTTACGTATAATGTGTAGTGAGAACCTACTGAATATTTATGAAAATAGCATCGTAGTAATGAATGTTTAACAATAGTCAGCAATCAGTACAGACTGAAAACCAATTCTATTTCCGTAATAATGAAATCATAACAGGGACAAACTTGTCAGACTGACTGGCAGGTTTCACATAAAAAATGTAAGCCGATTTTCTGCGAAACCTTAGCAGGTCAGGTAAAATTGTTCTGTATGATAATTTAATTGGTATAGCATATATTATAAGGCATTCATAACTTATAAGTGGGTCATACATTTGATGATAGTTTATAGGCAATGAAAGCATTTGTAAGCGCACAATTTAAGTCACGACACAGGGATCAACAGTTCCTTGCTTTTTCTCCATGGAGGGAGACAATTTAAAACAAGCACTAGATGCATTAAATTGTCAAACACCAAGCGGTCACCGGTGACCGCGACCTATTGTTCTTTAATTGTGTCTATAAAACCGGTACTCGACGAGTTAAAGGACGATTATATTTTGACAATTCAAATAAGCGTCCTTTGTAGGAAAATACAAAGAAAAACATTCATCCCAGAGGATTAATCATGATCATCACCATAGAAGGTCCACCACAGCTATACGTAAGTCTCGGCAAAAAACGAAGTAGATACATACTTAACATAATTATGTTGCAAAGAATATTTGACGGTTTAATACGAGATTTTAGTCACAATCTGACAAACTTCTGCGTCATCAACTAGGGCAAAGGGCATTCTTGATGATCCACGTAACGCGGAAACTGTTAAACTCCAGGCACAAAGATATTGGTATGAGTAACATTGGACGTGGAGTGGACCTTGAAAATATAAACTATCTACGACATAAAATATAAATAGATTTTCCTTCGTAGGAATATTTTTTACGTTACAAAGGCTTTAAGTTGTACAGTCGTAGTAAAAAACCATTCAAATTAAAATGAAACGGAAACCACCGCCCACTTGTCAAACATTGTATTTACGAATTTAAATTCTTGTATGATTCCTCGAGAGTTGGCGCCAACGGGCCACCTACTTAGTTTTTATAAGCTAAAGTTTGTTAATATCGACAATAAAAAACAAAATGAGGTGATCTGCGGATATTTAAAATGTTCCTTTTTAAGAAAACTTAATTGCAGTAATTCCAAGATTTGGTGTTTATGTTATACCTACAATATGCAAATAATTGTGTGTGGCCAAAATGTTTACGCTAAATGCATCATGAATAATGCACATAATCAACCTTTTGTACAACCTTTACTGACACATTAATTGAAATAATATAGTTTAGTACCAAATTTTGGCTGAGATGAAGAAATCAGCAGTTTTTGACAAGTTTGGAATAGAATAATTAATTAATTATGTATTATTATTATAAGTAAGTTATGAATATAGAATAAAGGTTTCAAGTGCACCGGTGAGGTAGGTGCCGGCACTGCCGGTGCAGCAGCACCGCTCGCTGGCGCGGCGGTCGCGGGGTGCGAGCGTCATTCGAGCATGGTCTCTGCGGCCGGCCTCCGCCCGCCAGTCCCGCCAGTCTACCCGTGACTCCGCACTGCGGCGGTGTGCTATCGCTAAGCTCCGTACGACCCCCGTGCTACATCTAACCAAACCGTTCTTTTTATAATCGTCAACTGCAAAAAATCTGCGGATTCATATCCAAGATTGACTGCAAAAGTGATTGATACATTGTTATAGTGTTGTGTATAAAAAACCGCGAATTCTGTGAGTTTTCTTAAAGGCTTCGCCGCTCGTCCTGGCTATATTGACGCCGATTTTATCGTTCTGTCAGGTAAGACGTGAGTTTAATTAGTTGGGATTTAAATAAAGTTGTTACATAAAATAACAGTGTTTTTCTAATACCTAGGTAATTTTAGAAAAAAGTAACATTTCTTTTCATTATCTTATATTTTATTTTATGTTTCTACATGCTAATACACTATGAGAATTGTTTAATTAGCGTTGAATTGAAATTTTCGTTGATACCTGTATGTCTATCCTATTTTATTTTCTACCTGCTGTCTATGTTTTATTTTATCCAAACCAGTAAGGTTACTCATCTGATCGATTATAAAAATATTATATTTCCCTGGAATTTCGAAGCCTGTGATTTCGACATTGAACACTTTGATATGAATCGAGGAACACTATAGGAGGTCTCAAGCGCTCTAAGCATTCTCTGGAACGTGAGCACTCAGAAGAGAATCTCCTGACACGTTTCTTATAAACCGGTTCACTCGGATACAAGACTTATGCAATCGTTACTCTAATCGAATGAACAATGTCCGAAATATTTTTGTAACGTATCGTCGGAATTTTGGGGTTAGTCATGGCAATGAAAGTAATGTAAAAATGGTAAAATTATTGTCATATCAACTAGGAATAGTAGGAATATTTATATTTACAAAGCTTAGAAGATACAAAACTAACTCATTTTAATAGAAACGAAATTGCATTGTTATCTTACGAATGTCATCTAATTAAAACAGACACGGTGCAAGTTGATGAATTAAAATAACAATATGAAATTATGCAGGAATGCTATTCAACTATAATGAGTGTGTTTAAAATGTGATTAACATAAATCGATCTAGCTGCTTCCACGCGAATGATGACAAGTCATGCAGCATACCTGTGATGTGCATAATTACGTTTGTTTAG